TTGTTTCCGGATAAGCTGTACATCATTGGTACAATTGTAATTAAAAAAAAAAACTAGCTTGTTGTGTAACTCAGTCTTTATTTTATAGGTATTTCTTAAGTGCAGAAGAAAAGGTGTACGCATTGTGAAAAAAAAAATGTGTTTGCCAGTACCCAAAAAATAAAAATGATTGTGTTACCAAAAAAAAAAGTGATCAAACCATTAAAAGAAAAACTTACATATAAATACCATTATACTCTGATTCTTTATTATTGTTGCGGATTAGATAAATATAACAGTTATACAAGTAATAAAGTAATAAATAAGAACATTATTTTCACGTTGATCAGTATTTTAATTACCAATTCACTATTTTGCTTCAATTGGATGAATCAAAATAATATGATTGGTGTAGGAACATTACCTAAAAGAAATGAATATAAAAGTAAGAATTAATTAAGTCAAAATATTAATAACGCAAATAAGAATGCGATTAAGAACGAAAATAATGCACCTGGTTGATTAATTTGGATTGGGCTCAAATTTGGACAGATAACTCGAAATGGGCTTATGACTCTTTTACGTTTTATGTCTTTAGGCTTCTCACAAAGCCACAAGTTATTACAGAAGTTCAACTTCATCAAACTAGGATCCACAAACTCATAGCTCAGTTCTGTATGAACAGTAAGCTACTGTTCTTCGAAAACCCAGAATATCTGGATATATGTCGGGGGTATATCCGGATATCAATATCCGGATATCACAAAACCCCATATCCGGATATCAATATCCGGATATCACAGAATACCATATCCGGATATCATAGAATCACATATCCGGATATCAATATCCGGATATCAATATCAGGATATTTCGTGACAAAATGCAGTTCTGCATTTTCGCGAAGATATCATCCAAAGGTTCAACTTTTACCAATTAACTACGTTCAAGACTCCATTTTTAGGCACATTTAGGTTCATACTCAGGTTGGTTACTTGATTATCTCATCATACATGCAAAGACACCTCTTTTAAGCATTAAAACTCAAGATCAAGTGAAGGAACATACCCAAGGCTTCAAAACAGAAGCAAAGGCTACTCTTGGAGCTCACAACCAGCTCCAAAGATTCTGACTTTGAAGGTGCACGAAAATGGCACACAAAGATGAGTTCTTTCTTCACAAAGGTCACTCCTTGGACCTCAAAATGCCATAACAATGGATCCCTCAACCCACCCCAAGAAGTCAGCACCTCAAGCACAAGAGAACAGCACCACAACTCAGAATGGAGCTCACCACAACTCAGAATGGAGCTCACCACACTCTCACCATGATAGTTCCCACTCACTCAAGGTGTTTAAATGAAGAAGCAACCAAGAAAATGGTCTCTTGGAGGTCTCAATGGAGGAAGAAGAAGGTGCAAGGTTGATGCACACAAGACTCGGCAATTTTTCACGTAGAAGGAAAGGTGGCTGACCTAGGATCATGTACAAGGTTCTTTATATAGCTCACTTAAGCTATAATCGCACTGTATTAGCGCTAATTGCTACGCTTAGCAATTTAATCCTAAACTTTGGAATCTAAACCTACTTATTTTTACAAGATTTATCATATTTTTATTTTATTTTTCGCAGCACCTTTCTGGTACGCGTTTTTCCATAGCCAGTATCAGTTCTGGGATCAGTTCTCATTATTTTAACTTGAAACTCATTTTACAAGTCCAATATAATATTCTAGGAATATTCATGCACTTATTATAATTTTCTGGGATACTTCATCGATACACATTTATACCGAGTAGCAGAACCGGTATCTGCACTTTTCGTCCGAAAAGCGACTTTCAGCATTATTACTCACTACTATAATTATTAAAGCCTCATAATAATTATTAGGGTCAATTATGGAATTATTTCCTAATTTTCACATCTAATTAATTAATTTCCTTAAGTAACGGTGCAGATTCTTACACCCTACCCTTTATTCCCTTCTAAAAATCCTTATATCTTAGCATTTCTTCCATCAGGATTGTACATTTTCATATCTCTATTTTTAAAATCATATAAAGATATGGTAAAATTAATATTTTGATTTGTTTTATCAATTTTTTCTGTATTTGATTCATTATTGTAAATAGATTCAGATTCAGTTTATATACCAAATTCCCCTGGTCATACATAAACCTAAAATCAATATACAAAAAGGAAACTCATCGAAGCATTACACATAGAATAATTTACTCAATATTGAAAGAAAATATTGTAATGAAAAGATAAATCAAGTTACATCAAGATTCAATTAGGTTCCGTCTAACCAAGGTTAAAAATAACAAGAATAGAATTTTTTTCCCAAACTCCATCTTTAAGAAGCGTGTGATGAATCTTCACATATCTATAGCCTGATGGTACATGTGTGATCTCTCAACTCTATAGGAAGTAAGGGTGTTCATCAATCAATTCAAACTACAGGGACCAAAACGAAAAACCGATAACCGAATTAACTGAAATTCAAAAAATTTAAAAAAAAACCCACATATTTTAATTGGATTGGATCGATTTTCAGTTTGATTGGTGAAAACCGTCCAATGTATTATGTATTTATTATTTTTGAAAAATGATAACTTAGAACCTTGTTGTTTTGTAGACTTGGAGTCTTGGATGATATTGTTAACAAACTATTTTGTTTTAGTTTTTTATTGACTATTAATCTATTTTAACTCTTCATGAGTTTTAAGACTTGTTTTAATTTGAATACTTGAATTTTTCAGTGATTTGTAACTTTGTATGGCTTTATTGTGATATAGCTATTGATTTGTATTACTGAAATTTTAGGCTTTTTGAAAACAATCCAATACAAACCGAATAAAATTGGACCGGATTTTAAAAAAAATTCAAACCGAATGAATGATTAAATGACCAAACCAAAGAGTTTGAATCAGATGATTTTTATCTTAAAATTGATCCAATTCGGACCACGAAGACTCTAATATGGAGTAATTTTGCAATCTAGATCTTTTTTTTTTGATATGGACAATCCAGATCATTTTAATCCTAGATAATAACCTCTTATTTATAGTCAAACAACGTTTGCTTTGCGCCTTTTGCAATTTGGCCTTGTTTTAATGAACCCGTCATTCAGGCATGCATTATACACGTCTAAACGCCAAATATACCCATTTTTTACATTTTGGGCACGTAGGCGTGCAACCAAAGCAACTATATTTTGGTGCTCTCAGTGCTTAGGCGTGCAATATGAGCGCTTAGGCATTCAATCTGCATGCTTGGGTAACCCGTATGGCATGTCTACATACTATTTTTGTATTTTAGATATAACTTCAGTTGTATTTGTCTTATTCATGCGATTTTGGTTTCGTTAAAAAGATAAAAGAAAGAAGTAAAATTCTTTGCAGATTTCAAGATCCAAATCTATCATCTTGATATAAATCTTTTGCTGGAAGATAGTACCAGGGAGATCTCACGATATTTGGGAACTCAATTTTTATAAGATTTGTTTTACCCAAAACTTGTCCCAATTACTATGATTTTCCTCCTTAATCCTAAATAGAGATGCTTCTTTAACTCCAATTAGCTTAATTTACATAAAAAATTCTTTTTGAAAGAAGTTAATGATTAACGTTTTAATCATAATAATTCTAAGTTTTTTATATTTTTTATGACTCAATTTAGAAATTAATTAACATACTTTAGTCCCTTAAAATATTGTAAGTTACGAATTTATTAATTACAAGGAGGAATTATAAAAAAAAAAATTTGATAGTGTTTTTTCTTTTTTTGATTTAACGTTTATAGAATAATTCTTGTGGGATGTAGTTGGAAATTAGTATATACTAAAAAAATTCATTTGTGTTACTAAAAAAATAAAAAAATAAATTCATTTGTACTCAAAGAACCATTTGAGAAAAAAATAACAGATTATTAATAATTAAAGTAAAATAAAAATTTATTTATCAAAGCAAAAAAAAGTTAAAAAGGAATATGCACAGCTTTTATTTTTATTAAAATATATTTTTGTCCTTACACGTTACACTAGGATACAAGATCAAGCAGGAGATCATTGTTTTTTTTTTCCCTCCAACTCTATACTTTCTTTGAGAAGGTAGAACTCCATTCACGTGGTTTTGCATATAAGACAAAGTAAACCCCTACGAATAGAAGTTTGTGCTAGTGGCAGGGAGATGTCATTGGTAAACACAAGCCTTCACAATTTGTTTGTGTTAGTGGCAGAAAGATGTTATTGGTAAGCACAAAGCCTTCAGAATTTGTTATGCCAAATTTTTAATGTCCCAAAATACATCACAACTTATTCGGCAATAAGTTATATTTATTGGAGTGTACTCACCTAATGGCACTGACATGCCGTTTTTCGTAAAAATAGATAAATACATCAATTGGTACCCGTAGTGTCCACTTGCACAAGATTAGATATCTGACAGTGGAAAAAAATTTCGATCCCCATAGATGCACTAAGTTTTCAGTGCATTTTTCGTTCACACTGAGACGTATTTTATTTTTGTCAAATTATTATTAAATAATTTATTTTAATATCAGGCGAGAGAGTGATTTGATAAAAAAACAAGACACTATCACATTGTGAGTAAAAAATGTACCGAAAACTCAGTGCATTGATAATAATAAAGATATTCTCCTGACAGTGATTCATCACATAATGCTACATATCATCATATGACTGTTGCACTTCTCACGATGAGAACATCACCAAAATTGATGGTAGAAATTAAAACCAGGAACAATCTTCAACTACAATGAATGTATATATCTTTTGGTGCACTTTAGTTTTCAATGCAATACAGATTCTTCCACGTGATACTTCAAATCTATAATGAATTTGTATTTCTTAAATGGATATATGTGGTCCATTGACCAATATAACTTGAGGGCAATGGAACTCTGACATTTTGTCAAAAAGCAGAGAAGATAATGTGATAAGGACATTTCATGTTCCACTTTTTTCCTGAAAAAAGCAGGAATATGGAAAATGAAATTGGGCAAATAAACCATACCATAACCAATATTGATCCATAAATCTAATAAGTCAAATAAAGAAGCACTTCTTGTTATTACTGATCAAATTATGGTTATCAAAACACATAACATGAAGCAAATGCATTGCTTATAAAGACCACTTGGCAATTACTAATGAAACAACACCTTGCATATATAAATTATTATAAGACTAAATGAGATTGAAGACGCAATTGCAACATAGAGTGGTCTAGATCTGGAGACAAATGGCAGTGACTTCATGGTTTCCAGAGGATGGTAGTCTCTGCAATCATGGAGGTGACTACATAGGGATCCATATTAGAAGCAGGCCTTCTGTCCTCAAAGTAACCTTTGCCATCTTTTTCTGTCTCTCTTCCAACTCTAACTGAGGCTCCACGGTTTGCCACACCCTATACAAAAACAAAAACATAACATTTAATTTTATGGTTAAGATACTGCTAATCTGAAACATCAAAAGCCTTATTAAATACACCAAGATCTTCTTTGGTTATTGAAAATCATTATTTTTTTGTAACATGTTTTACATTGTACTTAATTACCAATATGGGGAAAATTCTAATTATTCCCACTAGTTGTTTAAAATTTAATCTAAACATTAAGGAAGTGATAATGCAGCATTGATTTTTCTAGTTAGCCCCTTTTGATTTTCCACTTACCCAAGTGAAGGTGTTGATATCTGCTGTTTCATGTCTTCCAGTGAGACGTCTCTCATTGCCTTCTCCATAAGCAGCAATGTGCTCCTTGTGCCTCAATCCAAGTTTTTCGATGGCCTTTTTGATGACCTCAAAACCTCCCTCTTTTCTCATGGATTTGGTGCTGGAATCACACCATTGCAAGTCTCAGAAAATGAAAAGATTTCAAACAATAACACATAGAAGGTAATAATATACATAGACTATATTACCTGTAGTTTGAATGAGCACCAGCTCCATTCCAATCTCCCTGATAACAAAAATGTATCAAAATAGTGAACAATAGAATAAAAATATTAATTATTCTTTATCCTTCAAGTATTCAACTAGGACAAAAATTTCAAACATATTTTAAAATTGTCAAGGACATTTCTAACCTTAATAGGCTTGGGATCAAATGAAACAACTACTCCAGCTATCTCTGTAATCCTCTGCAATATAGAAACATTTCATCAATATTTATATTTTCATTGACTTTCACTAATTATATTGATCATACATAAACCCTAAAAAAAAAAGTAAAAAATCAATGAAAATTTAAATTACCTCCAGAATGTAGCGTGCAGCCCATAACTCATCTCCAGCAGAGATACCAACAGAAGGGCCTACTTGGAATTCCCACTATAAATTTGGAACAAAATTCAGAAATATTAATTTTCAATACTAACCAATAAGCTAGTAGTAACTAGTAAGACAAATAAATAAATGTGATTTGATTTATACCTGGCCAGGCATAACCTCTCCATTGATACCACTAACGTTAATGCCAGCATAAAGACAAGCTTTGTAATGTGCATCTACAATATCACGGCCATAAGCTTTATCAGCACCAATCCCACAGTAGTATGGACCCTGTTCAAACAAACACTAGTTATACATGAAGCATAGATACGAAGAAAAATAGGAAAATAAATAATCCGTGTTTTAAAATAATAATCATTTAAGGTTTTGTATAAGGGGAAGGTTATACTTACAACCTATTTTCGTTTACAACTTCTTATAATCATATTTTAACCGTTGATTTTCGTCAATCTACGGTTAAGATTTTCGCAAATCAAATTAATTAATCAATTATTAATTCGCAATAAAGGACAACCGTTGATTGACGAAAATCAACGGTTAAGATATGGTTGTAAGAAGTTGTAAACGAAAATAAGTTGTAAGTATAACCTTCCCATTTGTACAAAGATCAGAAAAAGTCATTAGATATCTTTAATTTTAGGGAAAAAAAGACTCAAAAAAAAAAAAGACAGTAGAGATACTAAAAGACAACGATAAAATAAAGAATGCGTTGCAATTTTTCCTTGTTTATTCAATGCCATTAAAATATATTTTGCTTCCAGTTTTGATAGTTACAGAATTAAATGACCCTCAGCCTTATTTAATGAGTACAACCACTTTCTTCACAAAAAAGCTGATGTCAAATTTAAGTTACTTTTGAAAAGAGAAGCAAGTATGATACATCAATTTCTGTGTTTCATTTATGCCAATATAGGACAATCAAATTTGGGGTAGGTACAATGTTAACTTGGAATGTCTACCATGAAAATCCAAAAGCATTGATCATAGAACAGTTTAAAGCATTTGAGAACTGGGACTAATTCAAAACAAGAAAAACACATAGAACAACTAGAAGAAGAAGAAGAAAAATAATAATAAGTATGTGACAAGAAAAGAAAAAAAAAAAGATGGAAAATTTCAGACCTGTGGTCCAGGAAACCCACCAATTGGCCACCCAAGTGGCCAATTTATATCTTTCTGCAACAAGGTATACTCTTGCTCAATACCATACCTGTTAATAAAATAGAGTAATTTTGATTATTTTATAACAACTTCATGTACACAGCATAATGGAAAAAAGTGATTTCTAAAAAAGGCTTTTAAAAAATTGGAGACATAAGGTTGAAAAAAAAATTAAGAATTCAAAATAGAAAACTAGGAAATGCATACCATGGCTCCTCAGCAACAACGTCAGGGTGACTGAAAACTTTGGCAGCATCGAACCTCTTGTTTGTTGGAAGTGCCTCTCCAGCTGGGGTGTAAACATCACAAATCACCTATAGATTTTTTAGCAGAGTGTGAACATTTAACCCTCAATAATATACATTCAGGTGAAACTATAAAAATAAAAACATTTGCTTACCCAAAATCATAAGCCAATTATTTAAATTAAAAAAAAAAAAAACTTACAAGAATATTCTTGCCTCTCCTAAATGGGTCCCTGAAAATAGCTTGTGGGCTTTCAACAAAAAATATACCAAACAAAAAAAGAAACTCTCACTCATTAGTTTTTTTGTGAAAATAATAAGCCAAACAAATAAATAAATAAACAAATAAATAAATAAACAAATAAAGAACAGCAAGGGAATTGAAACATATATATATATATATATATATATATATATATATATATATATAAACATCAACATAACATACTATAGAATGACTTCACTGTCCTCCCCAGGAGCTTGTTCTGTGCTAGAACCATCATAGTTCCACTTTGGAAGTTTTGCAGGGTCATCAACTGGTCCAGAAAGAGTCTGTTTGTTTTAAAACCACAAAGAAAAATAACCAAAAAAAAAATAAGAATAAAAATTAGCATAGTGAACATGTAAAAAGTTTGCATAATGATTATCACTTGTGATGAAGGAAAAAAAATTACCCTGGCTTTGCTTCTTAGGTCCATACCAGATCCACCAATCCTGTTTATCAGAACATAAAAAGCATTAAATAATTTTCTTTTGCTTTTTCTGGGAACAGATCAACCCAAGATCAGTGTTGTTAAATAGCCATTCAAAAAAAAAAAAAAAACTCTGCTTTTTATGTGTTTGATCCAACAAAAAGCCATAGTGCTAAAAGGAGGAAGATTGAACCAACATGTCAAAGGAGGAAAAGTTCCAAAAGAATCACACCCATTAAAATATACCCAGAATCAGAAAGAATACTATATCCACAAAGGGGTTTACATTTTTGGAGTAACTATTTTGGTCAAAGATTTCATAAACAGAAAAACAAAAACAGAGTCCCCTGTTTCTTTTAAGGTTGAGATCTTTGATAGCTTACCATATGTATTCAGCAATAACCTTATCAGTGGATTCTGAAAGGTTAAGGTTGATGAGATCTGAAAGCAAAGACATGGCAACTTGTGCAGGAAGAAGAACACTATGAGAGGAACAGATAGTAGCTAACAACTAACAACAGTTGCAAGATAGGGTGAAATACTATATTGGCTCTAATCCCTTTTTATAACTCAATCATTGAAGACTACAGAGAGTTCGTGCTTCTATGTGCTTGGAGTCTTTTTTTTTTTTTTTTTTATGAGTTTAATTTTGAAAATTGCAATAAAAAATAGAAATGTTTTAAAGTTTTTAAAATAAAATATTGATATCATAAATGAAACTCAATAGGGCGGCGTGCTTGAATTCAATTATATGATATGATAAATGATAAGTGATAAGCCAATCAAATGAAGTAGCTTCACTTGAACCTTGTAATGTTGTTTGCCTCTAATTTCCTTTAAAAGAATTTAAAAATAAATACTATTATTAAACTTCTGAATCTTAGATTTGACTGAATTGTTTTAGGTAGTGTTGAAGTTTTTGATCGAGATTTCCATCTATTTGAGTTTGGGAATTGATGTTGTATTTGTTTGGTCGAGGGTTTTTAAAAATTTGCCTACCAATCTCTTTTGCCTAGTAATTGAGAATCAAGTGCAAAAATGCACAAAATGCACCATGAAAGTTTACTAACTTGAATATGGTATTGCACATATAGCTGGGCAAGTGAGAAAAATGTGATAAAAAATGATGACAATTAACCCAATTTTTTTAGTAAATTTTTTTCAACCAAACAACTTTTTTTACATTTTCTTACCAAACTTACTTTCCAACCATTTTCCTATCAATCATATTTCCCTAGTATTCAAAAAATTTCTCCTCAACCAAACACCCCCTTAGGGTTTTAGGATTTTATATGAGTTGTGTTGTAAGAAAAGTGATTGTGTAATGTTATAGAGATTCGTTTTACGTGCCATAATTTTTTTTTGCTTTAAAAAATGTGGGCTTCACAAATTGTTGTGTGTGTAGAAAATTTTTTCTGATCATGTTAAAGGGCAAACTAAAACCCCATTGTTTTATATATATATATATATATATATATATATATATATATATATATATATATATATATATATATATATATATATATATATATATATATATATATATATATATATATATATATATATATATATATATATTTAACGTTTCTACCGTAGATGAGTTATTTATATTTACTCTCGAAATGATGTCATTTTAAATTGAAAAATTATAATAAAAAAAACTATTATAACTTTAAAATAAATTATAATTATAAAATATCTTATTTTCGCCTCAAACTATGTCATTTTGGGTTCATTATATTTAATTTATCTACATTAACTAAAAAAAATAATCCATATATAAAAATGCGTGCAACGTCATTCATACAATAAATACATATTATATGATTATTATATTACATAAGATAATTTTATCTCATATATATAAAAAAACACAAAAAAGTAGGTGTGCGTGAAAACATTTTCAACACTTCCGGACCACCACTAATTCAGAGGTTCGCGTCAATCAAAATTGAATATTTTATGTGATATGTGCACGGAGGAGAGAAAAAAAAAATTTATTCGAAGAGTGAATATTTTAATGGAAGGATCGCAGGTCTGGGTTCAATGAAAATATTTTTGATGTGAATTATGATTCACTTTTTTTTTCTCTTCTTCTTAGTATGTATCGTACACCTTTTTTATATGTTACATATGAGAAACATATTCCTCTTATTTTAATATAAAAAATTCATCTACATAATTGTGATTCATTTGGCCTGAATTTTTATGGAAATAATTTTTCTCATATAAAAGTTTGTGAATGTTGTTTTCTTTTCGTCTTCTCTTCACATATTCCGATATAAGTTTCAAATATATATTTATATATTAGCATATTCATTCTGTTTAATATATGATGATCTACGTCAGTATGGACAAGATCAATAGTATACCTCTTTCTTCTAGGTTGGTTCGGTCTCCCAAATGAAAATCTACATTGCTTTCCAGCTAAATAGTGTGTGCATGTCTCTAGGAGTTGACCTTTCAAGTTCGGCAACAATTCCTTCTTGGTGAGGATTTGCAGACCTTTCTTACTCATGTGTCCGAGTAGTCTACACCAGAGCTCCAAACTTGATTCGTCTTGCATCGCATTGGTCTCTACATTGCCGACCTTCCCTTGAATAACATAGAGAGATCCTTCTTTCTTACCTCGAGCTACCACCAAGCTACCTTTGGCGAGTTTCCATTTTCCTCCACCGAAGTAGTTTACAAGCCCGGCTTCATCAAGCTTTCTTGTCGAGATAAGATTGAACACATATCGGGAACATGTCTGACCTCCTTCAGGACCAATCTATAGCCCATATCGGTCATCAACTTGACTTCTCCAACTCCAATTTTCTTGCTGGTAACTTGGTTACCCATCTTCACGATACCATAGTTGCTGCCTTGATATGATGAGAAGAACTTCTTGTAGGGTGTGACATAGAAAGATGCTCCTGAGTCCACAACCCATGAACAATGATCATCGGGTACATTTATACAGTTGTCTTCACGAATCAGGAAGAGATCGACCTTGGCATTGGCTGTTAATGTCGTTGCGCTCTGCTCTTCTTTCTTCCTCGAATCTATTACATCTAGTTTAACATTGCTCGTTCTTTGGTCTTTCTTTAAAGTCCGACAATCAGCGATCTTTCACAATAGAAGCATGTAAGGTCCATTCTCGGTTTTGACCGACCTCTAGACTTGTCTCGACCTTGACTTTTACTTGTACCTCGGTGTGCCGTTCTTCCACAGTTTTTAACGATATTCACTTCATACTGATGGGTTATCCCTTATTATTTCCTTCTTGCCTTTTCATTCGGTAGACTGTCTGCAACCGAGTCTATGGTCATCTTTCCTTTTAGATTCGAGTTTCTGAGCATCACCACCAAAGTATCCTAGCTCTCAGGCAATGAGCCAAGTAGCAAGAGTGCTTGCAACTCATCATCAATCTTCATTTCAATCGTTGTCAGCTGATTGACAAGCCCCTTTGTATGTGTTCAGATGCTCAATCATGCTTTGTCCGTCCTTGTAGTCTAGCTTCACAAGTCGGCGCATCAGGTGCACTTTGTTGCGTGGTGTCTTCTTCTTGATAAGGATTCCAACTTTGTCCACAGCTTGTGAGTGTTTCTGTAGGTTGAAACGTGCTCAAACAAGCTTTTGTCAATGTATTTGCGGATCATAGTGACAGTCTTCCGATTGAGGAGATCCCATTCTTTATAGGTTTTCCCTTCTTCCTTGTCCGCGCCTAGAATGGGTTCATATAGATCCTTGCAATAAAGATGATCCTCCACCATGGGTTTCCAATATGAATAGTTCTCTATGATGAGTTTGAACATGCTACCATAATGTGCTACGACACCTCTATCTCCAACCTTATAGAACCTTTGATCTAAGAGCTCTGATACCACTATTGTGTCTAGAAGCCTGACACTTCTTAATTAGCCCGACCTTAATGTCAATTAGCCCAACCTGCGAAAGCGTTGATGAATGGTAAATCAAAAAATCAAACAAACAGATATAGGGAGAATAGAGAACAACAAAAATTTTAACGGGAAAAACCTCTTCGATGTGAAGAGTAAAAATCACGTGACCAAATTCAAAAAACTTCCACTATGAATAATGAGATTTACAAAAGGTTCTTTTTGGCTCACTAACCAGAGGAACTTCACCCTCTAAAGGATGGATCTACTTACAAGTGTCTCACACAAGTGTTTCTCTATATAAAGGGGATAAGAATCATACTCTACAGGTTATTTTTCTTCTTCAGCAATGATGCTGAATATTTTCCTTCGAGGATCTTCATCTCTGGCTTGCGTTTTCTCTTGCGCATTTCTCTTCCTTTGCATTTTCTTTTTCTTTCTTTTTTTATAAGCATCTCTTATAAATAAGAAATTAGGATATCCATTAATTGAGCCGGTCCCATCATGGGCCATAGATCCAACATCCTCTTGGGTCATGTTATTTACCAGTAACCATGAAAATAAAATTTTATACAATATATATGTGCTTTCAACGGTAGTAAAAGTGTTCCTAAATCAAGATGGAGAAAGACAAAGGATTAGAAAAAATAATGTATTATACCATAATTATCCTAACAAACAATTTAGGGACACTAATTTTCTAAGAAAAAAGACGAATAAAAAAATTGTGGGACATTTTCCTTAGATTAGTGGGAGACCAAACGAAAGAAGGAAATGATGGACAGTAATCATGAGTATGTGAGATATATTATAAAATTTGTCGGTATATTATAAGGGTTTTATAATTCTTATTTAACATGAGAATTGAAATTTTTCTACACACCATTTGATTTTCGTGCTGACATGGGTCCTATATATAAGTTTTTCTAACATATGGGTCCCACGTGATTTTTGTCTCTACAATATAAGATTTCAATTCCCATTCAACATGAGAATTACAAAACCCATATTATAATAACCACCATGTAGTAGCCACGACATAAAATTTATGGAAAAAATTATTCTTATTAGCGGCGGACCTAGAAAATTTTATTTATGTCTGCACATTTAGGGTTGGGATAAAAATAAAAGAATATAAATAAGTGGTCCCTTTAAAATTTTTGGATACTCAACAAATATTACAGGACCCAATTTAATCCTTTAGAAAAAAAATTCGACTCGAGATCCCTTTGAAATTCAAAATAGACTCATTTTAGTCGTTTTGAGGGACTAACGTAGATCTTATTTGAATTTAAGAGGTATCACGATTTCAACCAAATTGGTCTATTTTGAAATCCAGAGGATCACAAAGTCAAGTTTTTTTTTCTATGTGATTAAATTAGACCCCATAATTTTTGTTGAGAACCTAAAAGATAATTTATTCTTTTTTTTCAAAGATTTGTGTCTGCACTTGCACACACTGGCACAAGTGCAAGTCCGCCTCTGATTCTCATTATATTAATTTTTTCTCCTACATATTCTTCGATAATAGTAGAATTTTTTTTTTTAATTTTTCAGGTAGTGAGGTCTACATATTTATCTTTATGACATGAGATAACTTATCTTCTTTAATTTGAGATTAATAACATCTAAAATTTATATTAGGATAAACTATAAAACCTCTTTTTTTTGTTATTCAAAGTTATTAGCATGGCTCATGAGTCATGACTCGATGCAGATAATTTGGCAGGG